TTCAAAGGAACTCTGCTGTTTTTAACCATCCCACCATGGCAACAACTCTGACTTTTAAACCTTTCTTGATCTCCTCAGTCTGTCCCACCCCATCCCCGTGGAGCTGTTCGTGCCATCACAGCATTCCTGCCAGAGGAGGGTGGCACAGGTCAGGAAGGGCAGAATGAAAGGAACATCCTTCTAAAATGCACCCAATTTACAGATCTGACATCTAAAGAAGGCTTTTTGTATGACCCAAGAAGATCCTGCAGAGAAGAACGGTCAGGAGAAGGCTGGGTTTCAAATCAACACTTCAACCTGAAGGCTGGGTTTCAAATCAACACTTCAACACAAAACCTGAATGAACACTACTGGAATTTGGCTGCCCCACAAGGGTTTGTCTGAATTGCACAATTGGAGCCCAATGTCAAACAGCTCAGCACAGTCCCAGCTGTTCCAATCCTAGCCCAACAAAAAGCATTAATTCAGTCCCACCTCCTGAGGGAGGTCAGAGCATCACCCTGCAAAAAAGAAACCAGCCAAAAAGTGCACAGTATTAAACGAGAATTTTTATCAGCCCTTCATAAACYATGTCATAAAATACCTTTATCATATGGCTGAAGCTCCATTTATATAAAAAGTACCTGTCAAAGTAGGTAAGATTTAGTAGCTTTGTCACAACAAGTATTTTATGGATTTCCCAAGTACAATGGTTCCAAATGTATCAGCTCATTCTATCTGGAACAGTCAAGGCTGAAGGTGGGAACAGATAAATGTTTAAGTTTTAAACAGATAAATGTTTAAGTACATTTAATATGCTCAGTCCACGTATATTCACAGGACAAGGAGATGCAGAGCATCCATTTTTGGAATTGTGCTGTTTGTTTTCCAAAGAATTCAAAACTTCTCCTTCCTCGCCCACTGCCTTCACTGTGCTGAGAGAAAGCTGTGTTCTGCAAATTAAGAATTCAACAGCTTTTTGCAGAATAAAGTGTGTTCAAGAGCAGATACTGAAGTCTGGAAAAACAGTTTAACAGGAATACAACCCTAGAAAATATGCAAGCTCTTCTTTCACACACTCAAAGGGTGGATGATACCAGACTGACTCCAAATGCATCTGAATTTTCTTAAGAACTTTAGTTGTGAAAAGCAGTTATTTATTTTACTCGTTCTGGGGGGAAAAACTATAGAGAAACACCACTGCTGAAAAGCACCCTGGTACTGCACAAAGAGTAAATTTAAGGATAAACCAACTATGCCAAAATACTCKACTCCAGACTTCCAAGACTGTGCTCAAAAAGATCAGATCAATGTTTTCCTGGCAAATAATTCTGGGCTGACATCTGTAACTCAAACATACAAATACTGAGCCATAGACAAACC